TAATCATTCGTTATGTGGTTGCACATTTCCTGTCCACTTACATTATTACTTCTCTTACCACAATCATTCGTTATGTGGTTGCACATTTCCTGTCCACTTACATTATTACTTGTCTTACCACAATCACTCGTTATGTGGTTGCTTTCTGTATACAGAATTTACTGTGTTTCCGGAAACGGTTTTTGCATAAAGCTTTCGTTAAGGAATTAAAATGTTAAGATTATATAAAGTTTGCACGAATAACTATGTCATTAATTACTGTCAGATAACATAAGAATATATCATTTCTGACATTTGCTTGGAAGCCCGCCTTAGTAAGACATTTACAGCGTAGTAAATAAGTAGCAATTTTGTTTACAGCAAAGTTTATTGTGTAAACTTGTCTTGTGATATTTATAACAGAGTGTCATTGTTTCGTTAGAAATACCGCGATGAAGGAATTAATTAACCTCACGATGCTACCAGAACCTTTTAGATACAAAGATTTCCATATACTCTTGACATTCATGATCTACAACAAACCAAGTGTTCATTAAGCTAGAAGAACAGCTTGTTGTCCTTTCGAGTTACTTTGTCCTGGTTAATCAGTCGTCTATTTACGTTTTAGCCACAAAATATTGAGCTTACTTGACAGTTTTGTCCTTAATTTCGGTCTCGATAGATGACATTAAACACCAGTAAGTTACCAACAGACAAAGAAACTGTCACATGAAAACACTATTGGTTTCAATAACCCACGAAGGATTTGTAGATTTAAACTAAACATTACCATACTCCAAGCATACTGCCCCCCCCCCCACGCGGTATGTCTGCGGACTTACAACGCTAGAAACCGGGTTTCAATACCCTTGGTGGGCAGAGCACAGATAGCCCATTGTGTAGCTTTATGCTTAACTTCAAACAAACAGACCAAGCTTACTATATATATATATCAATGCAGTTATGTTGTGTGACAAAATAATTAAGCAGCCTTCTTAAGTCACTGCTGCTTTAATAGCATAATCGCCTTAAACCCAGCATTAGAAAAAAGCTCTTTCATATAGAGATACTATTCATTAGTTTCATGTATTTCATTAGTTTCATATATGATGAATCACACACACTATTTATTTTGATCTTCATTAATAAAATATATTTTATTTTATATTCACTTCTCTTTTAAGTCGGATCTCTGTCTTACATATATATATATACAATATTTTTTCAGTTTTTAATGGTATATGTTTAATGACGTTTATGACATTTTGGGTTAACATAGAATGTTTGATATTTAGAAACTCTCTATCGGAAATATAGACAAATTTCATATTTTATTCAATGTATTTGTACCTATGAAAGTTTAACTATGATGGCTAGACCTAGAGAAGTAAAATTTCTCTAATCATTCCTTTGCAACAACTTTGAGTAATGTTCATTTGTTTTTATTTTAGAATAGGCCGAGACAGCAGTTTCAACATATGCTAATATTGTTAATGGACATTTTCTTTTTTCTATAAACTAGCAGACGTTCCCTTTAACTTTTGGTTTGTTTGTAGTTAAGGACAAAGCTACACAATGGACTATCTGTGCTGTGCCCACAACGGGTATCGAAACTCAGATTTTAGCGGGCCCTTTTAATACGTCATATTCCCTTATATAGTCTGATTTAGTTTGTAATTTAGTTTTTATGTTCCCCAAAATAGAATAACATGTTAAAATAAAAATATATCAAAGGGTTCTCTTGCGCATTAAGTTATTTCCTCTTTTGATTTGAAAATTTAAAAAGCAGTTTGTGGTTTGTAAGTACAATTATTTATCGTATTCGATATATATTTTGTATATACATGTAGGCAGTGGTCGAGACGGAAACTTAGAAGTCCCGATATGAAACCCTATTAATTTTGCACGCCCATTAAAACAGTATGAAAAGTTTTGGTATACATGTTTGCTGTCCTAAAAAGTGTCTCTATAGCATACCGTCGTATAACGGCCCATTTGGACAGCTGGGTATACGCATATTAAGTATTATTTTTACACGTCAACAGGAAATATTGTAAGCACCTAGTAATAATAATAATGATAATAATAAATATATAGCTTCAAAAGGGGAATTTGATTTGTTGTAATATATTTTTATAAGTAGTTTTCAAGGATATTAACTTAGATTTTAAAATCTCGTTTTTGTGTTATATTCTTGAGAATGGGGTTAAGCATAAGAAGCAATTTCATCAAAATTAAACGTGTTACTTTCATTAACTTGTATCATGTTTTACATATTTCTATATAATCTCTCCTTATAGAATATGTTTTAGCGGGATTTTGAGAGACGTCCTCGTTCTTCTTTTATTTAGCTAACTATCATTAATAATTTCGCGCTTACTCTTACATCTTCAACATTTTAATTATATTTAAAAGAGAGACTTACGAATCCTCAATAATGAAAAATAATGACTACTTCAGAAACTTCTGGTTTCCAAAACCTTCTTCACAACTGATTTATAAGTTGTTCTTAAGAGATATTTTACTCACTAGTTTATTACTTTTTTTTTACTGTAAGGCAAAGCTGTTCAAAGCTGGTAAGACACACGTCTATGACAAAAAAGTTTTATTTATTTGCAACGTTTCGGACAAAAGCCCTTCGTCAGGCAGTTTAAACAGTGTTGCGTAGAAAAAAAAGGCTTAGACAGAATTGTTAAAGGGTAAGAATAATTTTATTAAGCGAACTTCTTTTAACAATGATTGGCTAAAATGTAAAGACGTGTATCATCACCCAACAAATTCTGTTTTTCTACAACCAACCGTAACAACAGTCAGCACGTGCAGTGTAAATTATTTCAACTATACGTTAATTTATCTACTAACAGTAACCTTGGTAATTGATGTTTCAATTTCTTAAGATGCTATTATTACTGGTAAGATTTTTTTTTTTAAAATATCAAAATAGTTTCGAAAGTGTTTCATTAAAACATCCAAGATTTGTAGCATAACTAGTGCTTTATTTTCTTTACATCTAATACCTGGCTCCTACATTTGTATTTGTTTCGTGTTTGTTTTAATTATTTCCCTTTTTTTTCATAAAAGCTTGTATAAAAGTTGACAATTTTGTTTATTTAAAAAACTTTTTAAAAATTAAGAAACTCACGTAAGTTAATTATACTGATTAGTTTCAATATCCCCTATTCCAAATTTAACTTTTAACATATTTTGATGTGTTTGTTTTACACACACAGTGTTCTTATAATACAATAAAGTAAAGATACCGTTAACAAAATAAATATA